AAATTCTAGCACGCTGCTTAACTCAAATGGTACGTATTATGTAGCCATTCGAGCAGGATTTCTCATAAAACGCATGTTTGTATTTTTGTAATTTATCGACTGTGACCATCGGAAAATGAGTATGTGCTTGATTAATGCCCCTATTCTCAAGCGGTTGGCACGTGCCAATAACGTAAATGAACAAAGAACACGTGCACACTGGACCAGCAACATAATAATTACTTATTGCTCAGTGACTAAGACGCGTGTATTCATTGTATTCCTCCCCGGCTACTCGCTGGTAACTTACGTGAACAAAAAAACAAAACAAAACTATCCCAAACGGAATTTATTTATTTCCTGAAGAAGCACATCACTTGATTTAATACCTACGTGAGGGTTTTGTTTTGTTAGCGGTCTGCCAAAAAAAGATTGGGTCCATCGACATACAAAATCTATAAATTCGAAAGTATGGTCGTCATAAATGGGGAAGAAATCGGATTAGGGCGAATTGTCTCATTTACTGAAGTAAATTGCAGCACCTGGTGGAAAGGAATTCAAAAAGCACATGTCGACGTCAAAGCAGATGTTGAAGGAACGGACTTTTACTTGGGTACCCTGTTTTGACCATCCGGCCACTTAATGTGCACGTATGCCTACCTATCGTTTTCTTGAGATTTTTTTTATATTGAAGGAATCCTAAATACCTGGGATAAATCAAAATCCAATGAATAAAATAATGTTTGAATTAAAAACATATAAAATTGAAGCAATAAAGAGAAATTATTATTTTTTTTTGCGTGTGAAATTTGAACAAGTTTCACATCGATTTTCTCTTGAACTCTCCACTCGATTTCGATGATTTTCTTAAGGGTTGTGGTTGTAGCAACTTGATTCTTCACAAATATGTCTGACTGAAATAATTCGCCTTTATATCATATGTGCAGGGACGGAAAGAAAGTAGGTAGAGCATTTTCTGAGTTTCTCGAGGACCCTGTGAAGTCATCCACTGACAATTGAAGACATTTTTTAGGACTAAATTTAGCCTGATCTTTTCCGAAAATTTCCATATACTATAGAGTCTGAAATCATATCTTCATTATTATTGATAATACATCAGAGTTTCACACAAAGGTGGATGCTGATCTTAATTTTCCCCACGTCGACACTCGAATTGGATATGAAAATGTGTAATTTTCCACCCTCAAGTCATTTACTTCAGGTTAATGTTTGTGCTCACAAATATATTAGGAGTCATTAAAAAGGCCCTTTCATATGTTTTCTATTTGGTGAAATTTTATTTTAACTTTACTTTAAAACATCCGCCTGCTCGCCGTCGCCACATCAAAACGAAATTGACAAATTTCATAAATAAATAAATAAAATAAAATAAATTCTTTATTTACGGACATGCCATTTTTACAAAGGTAGACTTAAAGTGTAGGTACACGCAATAATAAATATTTGGAATAACAAGTAGGCAACAGAAAAGTTAGTATAAAAAAACAACATTACATAAGCCTAAACAAATATTTTGTAGTAGGTATCAAAACACAAACAACATAATACGCTTAAAATTGAATACAAATAGAAAAAACGATCATTTTAGGATCGACTTTAAAATTCTTTTGAATCTATCCAAACTTATGTTAAAAACATCCAAATCAGTCTTCAAAATAATATCATTCAGAGAACGACAGCTTCTAAGTAAAAGTGAATGGTAACCATAATTGGTTGTACGAAAATCAAGGTTAAACAATGTGTTTCCTCTTAAATTGCTAGATGGTACATGTAAGCCAATTCTAGCAAGTAAGTCTGGAGAATCAATAGAATTATTAACAATCTTAAACAAAGTACACATATCAAAAAACTGTCGCCTCTGGTTCAGATTTTCAAGATTTAGGACAGACATTAACTCACTATAATTTATAGATTCACTTGGGATGCCCAATCGATATGCAATGGATCTTAAAAACTTTTTTTGGATTCGTTCCAAGTGGGAGATGTGCACAGCATAATAAGGGGACCAGACAGGGCAAGCATATTCTACAACTGATCTAACAATTGCACAATAAATGTTTCTTAGGGTGTAGATATTAGTAAATTCTTTTAGTGACCTGAACATAAAGCCTAGTAATTTAATTGCTTTATTAGCAGTTATTTCAATGTGCTCTGTGAAGCTTACATTAGTGTTGAAATAGACTCCAAAGTCTCTAATAGTTTCAACCCTGTTAATCTCCAAATCATTAAGAACGTAATTATGTAAGTATGGTGTTTTTTACCGAGAAAAAGTAATAATCTTACACTTCTCAACATTTAAGGGGAGTTTGTTTCTTTGACACCAAGTCCGAAACATATCCAAGTCCACTTGCAATAATTGAGCATCCCTGACATCCCGAACAACCATAAAACACTTCAAGTCATCAGCCAAGAGCAAAAAATCGGAATTTCTGAAGACACCTGACAGATCATTAATAAATATACTAAACAGCAAAGGAGACAGGTGTCCTCCCTGAGGCACCCCCGAGGTCACCGAAAATACTGAAGAGATGTAATTCTCAATTTTTACAGCCTGTTTTCTACCTGTGAGAAGACTTCCAATCAAGCTCAATAGACCTCCATGCAGCCCCACATCGATCACCTTCTCCAATAGTATCTTATGGTCAACCCTGTCAAAGGCCTTGGAGAAGTCAGTGTAGACCGAGTCAATCTGACACTTATTCTCCATCATATTTGAACAAGAAAAATGACAAATTTTCACCTTGATGGCAATTCAAAATAGATAAAGTTTTTTTTTCAATTTAAGGGCCAATTGCCGAACGAATCATGTTAACAATAACTTAACAAACGATATACCGATTCAAAACAGCAGAAGTCATCCTCATTTAAAAATTCGGAGAATCAACCACTCAACGACTGAGGTATGTGAGGGCGTAGCGATTTGTGGAGCGAATGGTGAGACATGCTATTGAAGAACATATCGCATCTAAAGCACCATTTTAACAAATACCAAGTTTGTTGATGCCCCTAAATATATCCCATACCAGACCATCACTGAACTTGCACTACAGTAGTAAAATTTAATTCTTCATCTTCTTATCCTCAGCGACCTACCTCTGACCGTTCATTTCTTATTTGTGGGGCTGTTCTTCGTCTGTTCCCGAAGGTTCGCAAAACCATAAATCTCTCGTCTCAGGTTGAGTGGTTTCTACTTTGGCCTCGTCTCATCACATACCTCCCCGTTTATCTCTAACGTTTTACATTACGATAAATCGTGGATTATGGCTTTCGCAAATACCATAGTGTGAGATCTACCATTTTCAACAGCTCAACAGAGTTATATAGCCCATGTTGGATTTCTAACAATCGAAATGATGAATGTTAACTTTTGCTCCACTTTGAAAACAACGTCCAGATGTTGTAGTGCCAAGCAAATTAAAAAGAACTATTACCACTAAAAACAATTATTACCACCAGATTAACATCGCTTCGCGCGTTACAGCTACTGAACACATACATTATAATTTGAAAAAAATTCTCTTCAGTTGGGTGATCTCACCTGTGCTATATTGTTGTGCAAAGGAAGTGCACTCAGTTGCTATAACCATTTTTTTCTTTAACGAACAATGCATATGGTCTATTATGGAGTCATTATATTTGATAATTGAATTAAAGATATGCCTTATCTAAAACCGAGAGGTAAATAAGACAGTGCAAACCACAAACCACAAACCATCTGTCCAAATTTAAACTACTTAAATTCTGCATCGGTAACTCAAAATTAGAAAAATACTAAAATACCTATGAAGAATTACATAATGGAACGCAACATATATACAGAGTGTCCCAAAAAAAGATACTGACCAACTTCGAGAAGTTGCAGAGGTAATTAAAATAGATTAAAAACATCCCGAATTTTCTGATCAGGGTAGAAATGGAAAGCCACTGGCATTCCATCTAATTTTCACGTAACGTCTAACGTCATAGAATTATTCTAATTTCATTGGTTCACGATATACGATCAATACTGAATATAATTATTATGTTTAACAATAATAAATAAACTGTATAACCAGTACTTACGTACTTTTGGCTTGCACCCCACACAAAATTCTAAATATTTTCATTTTAAATTTCTCAACGTGCATGCGAAACAACTAACAGGTAAGTACCAAGGTAGGTACCTATTATTATTGTCTAGTTCAAGTTTCAATCACAATTTGTAAATGCATAAAAAAGCGGGAAAAAGATATCAATAAAAAATACTTTATTGTTATTTTAAATATCAAGATATTTTATATTATCATTGTTATTATCCATATCATGAGCGCCCTCTCGTAGGGGTGTTAGAAAGATTCGCGTGTCTATGTACTGGGAGGTAGGTAACTTAGTTCTAAATAGTATGAGATTGAGATTAAAACTAAACGATGACACTAGGAAAGCTTTGTCGAATGTCTCCTTTACAAAATTGATACTTATCGGATTTTGGAGTTTCTGATTACGCACTTGATATGAGGTTTTAAAAATTTAAAACTATGTAGATATCAGTTGGTTCTCGATAGGTTGAGGGATGGTTTTTTTGGTATAATTTTCCGTTGGCCACGCCACCGATAAGCATTATTTTTTGCTTCTTGATGACAGAAAAGAATAAGGCTTGTCACCACTTCATGTATTTCCAGTATCAAAGAAGTCTTAGAAAACCAAACATAATTTAGTATTCAATAGTCCATTTTTCAGTTGGTGGGGCTGAATCCTAATTAAGCCAAAGCCACCTTGGTGAATGGTGACATTTACAAGAAGAACAAAACTCCCAAACCTGAGAAACATTCGCCTCAATGGAAGCAAACGTAACTGGAAACAAGATGTAATTTCATGTCTGGGACCACTAGATATCCTGGGATTCCTAAAGGACTTATGACTAGACTAGAGGGGCTGCTTCGAACAACAGCAGATGGAGGAATACAATACCAATACTGATACCTCCAACTCGCATACAACATGCAACAGCGACCCATTTTTCACAAAATTTGTCAATGATTTATTAAAATGTTTTATTGATTTGAAGTAGGCTTTACATATTTTAGAAAAAATATTATTAATAAAATTACTTCCACCTTTTTAGTGCCTATCTTCAATAAAATAGTCATTTCCTAAAGATATAATATTTGTATTATTTGTAAATATGTAATGTGTTTTATTTTAGAAATATAAACTAATTTAGTGCAATAGTTATTGAAATTATCCGTAGATGTCTAAGCTTCTGAATCTTTAGGTGTGTAAAGTTCAACCACAGGTTCAGGCTTTTCTCCTCGGCTCTTCATCATTTGATCATAGAAGTTGCGTCTCAGTTCTTCTCTTCTGACCAACCTTTCAGTCTTGGCTTTTCTGATTGATTTGGCCAACATTGAGGCAAAAACGATTCCTAGAACCTAAAAGAAAAAACTTGCATAATCAAATTTACTTAAAAATTGCCGTTAAATGCTACATATCAGATTTTCTAGGTATACATTTCTAATTTTTTATGTTTTTTTTTTTTTTTAATTGTAGAATTCTGGCTTTAGAAGCTTGAGAAGCAACTAACTCATCATCTTATACTGCGGTATCAACTAGAGGTACCTATTCAAAAAACAATACCAGAAGATAACAATATCGAGGCTGTTGAGAATGCTAAGCAAATACTAACCCCTGAGCCACTTCTAAGAAACCAAACAGAGAAGAAGTGCTGCTCGTGGGAAAAACATGGAGGGATGAGACCAGAAATGGTGTATGGGATTTAACAAACGTTGTTGGACCCATTGTCACCTACGCCTCGTTGGTATGGTAGCCAAAGACTAAGCAAATTACGGCACAAAACACTCTACGTGAAGTACAAAGGCTAATCTGTCTAGGAATAACATGGGCTATGTCAACATGCCCCACCGCAGCCTTAGAGGCACTGCTAGCTAAACATGCCTCCTCTTCGCCTATATGTGAAAAAAGAGGCAAGAATAGAGGCGTATAGGCTATTCCAGACAAAAATATTTAAACCTGGTGATCTAAATGGCCACTTACGCATCCTTCAGTCTATAAAGCTCGAGTCCTAAAGTACACCAACAGATCATATGATAATATCACTAGACTTTGACATTCCATATGAAAAAGGTCTGTTTTCATAGAAATCACAAACCAGTCATAGCGAATTTCGTTGGTTGAAAATGGTCAGGAAACTGGTTGTTGGCGATTTGGATTAATAAATAATGCTCTAACTGGTTTGCGAATTCTGTGGAAACAGACCTGCCGTGGTTGTAAAAGAACGCAAATCATGGAAGAACGCAAAGCTACCGCAAGCGGACAATGCATCACTGTGGTACACGGATGGTTAGAAACTAACGGAAAGGAGTCGGTCTGGGAATAACTGGACCAAACTTTAAACTCTCCTTAGCAATGGGTAAAACGCCCATAACATTTCAAGTCGAGGTACCGGCCATAAACATCTGCGCCCAAGAGTGCCTTCAAAGAGACCTTTCAAGAGAGCTCATTTAAAAACTGTCAGACGGCTCTAAAGGCTCTAGGAGCCATCAAGTGTAATTAGCAGCTAGTTTGGAGGGTAAAAATATCCTCAAGCAACTGGCCGAAAGGAACAAAGTAACCCTGATGTGGATGCCAGGACCCCAGGGAATAGAGGGCAACGGCGAGGCAGACCGTCTCTCAAAGCAAGACGCTGTAACTTAACACCTTTTCAAGGCATAGAGCCTTTTTGTAGACTAATAAAAACCCACTTCTCCGAAGAAATCAACAGATGGAGAAAGGACAGTCGTTGGACTGCTCACTGGACACTGCCTGGTGAAATATCACCTAAAAACAATGGGCAAATCAGACAACGACCACTGTAGATCTTGCGAACAAGCATACAGAAACTACAGAACATTTAATCTGTGAATGCCCTGCTCATTTCTGCAAAAAGCTGCAATACCTTGAAAGGGTACGGCTAACACCCCAAGAGGTGGGCACTTTACCACCCGAGAAGCTGGCCTCCTTTGGGAGAAGCTTACAAATGTTAGACATCAACCAGAACCAGAGCCACGGCCACGGTAGCAGTGCTTGAGCGGCTGGAACAAGTTGTAACGACTCCAAATGCAATCTACAAATCTTCAAGTGTTCCAAGATCGAACTCCATTAACCTAGCAAGGAAATTGAAAAGCCACTAATAACTCACTGGCTGAAGAAATAGTTCAAGAACCAAATTCGGCATAAGGAGATCGTGGCTATCAAAAATGAAACTATTCCAGGCTTGAACGCGTGTTTTTGGACCAGCCATTTCCCAACCAGTGGATTGAAAGATGGTCATATAGCCTGGCTAGCTTAAGGGTCATGGGAAGTAATTTTAAAAAATTATATTTCAAGGAAGTTTATCCTAACATTAATCAGTAATATTAATAATTTTTTTACCTGTATAAAGGATACACATAATGCTCCAGCCGCAAGTAGAAGGGCACATTGCGAAACAACATAAGACAATCTAAACAAACATCCACTAGTGTATACAGTTGCTGGTGAACATTTTTCTTGTTGGCAACAAGTGGGTGGAACACTCAACGTGGTATTATCGGCCAGAACAATTTTAGTTAGATTGTACTCTGGATATGCACCCCATTCGGTGTTACGGTAGATTCCACAACATTGAAGCTACAAAATTTAATTATTGAATTTTCTTCCTAATTGCATCTAATGGTTTTGCTTACGTTGTATTGAGTGGAGTTCCATGTGAACGCATTATATTCCTCATTAAAATGATCCATTGCAAATTTCATGTTGTACGCGATGTTTGATTCGATGTTGGATCTCATGGCATAAGCGGCAATGCTCACGGATATTTCCATGACCAGAACGATTGTCAAAAAGAAGGCATACTAAAAATAAAATTTTGAACAACGTTTTATTTATATTTCATTCATTGGGTCGCAAACCTACCGTGTTAACCAGGCATGTGCTTTCTCTTACAGCTCCAACACATCCAAAGAGAGCTATCACAAAAATGAAGATTCCTATGATGATAGCTAAAGAAGAAGGATTGTAGTAGTAGGTTTCCATGAACTGTTCGAAATTGCTGTAGATTGATTTGATGGTGTAACCAATGGATATTAATAGAAGACCAACGATCTGTAAATTATTCGTCAATAAGTAATCATTTTTAATTTTCCAGTTTGTTCTATCAGTACTAATTATTATGTTACCGGGTCTACGGGGCGGGTAAACTGCGTGAACACCACTGAAGAAATATTTTTTTCTTAAACCAATTGAGTTTGAAATTTTTGTTTTATAAGAGACCAAATTATCAGTTTTTCTTCCGAATGTGAATTTTTGAAGTCAAATTCTTGGCTGATTTGCTGATTTTGAGTGGGAAAGTTTGGTGATACCTCCACCGAAGGTTTCTATTTGAAGGGTTTGAAGCGAACTATATTCTACATAAATTTATGGTATGTTGGAGGAGATATAGCTATAGAACAATATTTTTTCCTCAACTTGATCAAGAAATTAAAATCAGGTGTTTTTCAGCAAGATCATACACTGGTACATTTATCAGTATTTGCTCCGCAGGTCCAATATGATGTATGTTTTGGTCCATCCTATAATCTCTGCCAAAAAGAATTACTATATCATCCGAGTTTTCGACCACACACCCTTTGCAGCTGCTTCGCCGTCTTGGATACAAGAGTGAGCTTGCTTAATAAATTCTGATAATACTATAATCACGATACAGGGTGTTTCCGTTTCCTAATTTCCTACGGTCCTTAACTTTAGGGTTCATTTCTAGTAATGGAGTTTAATTTTAGTGTATGTAGATTTGAATTGATCACATCAGTGGAGGCCCGGCGGTGGCAAATCGATTACTTTTAATAGATGGCATAGCACGCCAATACTTTTTGATAGGATTGATACTTTAATTATTAGATAAGGTAAGCAATCATAATTTTCTTATCTCTCAATGCTGTTTTTTTTTTGTTCTTACATTGTTTTCGCGAAAAAAATAAATAAAATTCCTTTTTTGACACGTGGCAGTGGCAACAGTGCCACCGATAAAAAAATACATTTTTTAATTTAAAATTACTCAGTCTAGGAAAATAGTCGAAAAATACATGCATTGCAAAAAAAAAAAATCCTACTCAAATGAACTTTTCAGTGATGATAGGGGGCGGGTGAGTGATCATAAAACCGAAAATATCAAACATTCACTCCTCTGGCGTTTTGCGCTATAGGGGTTGAAAGTGCGCCATTGGCGATTATTTGGTACCTATTGATTTTACAAAAAAATGTTTCAAATAAAAGATGTGCAACATTATTTGATCTACAATGTTTAGCTAAAGACTTTTTAGATTAGGGGCCGTCTGTGGTCATAAGGGCCGTTTGAAATTTTATAATGAAAATGGAAAATTTTAACCAACGTGAAAAAAATTTCTACAACACATACAACATTTTTGCTTTATGAAGTTTTTACTCACCCCCGTTGCCGCTTTTCCATAGGGGTAGTTATTTTTTATTTTTTTTACAAAAAAAATTTCTTAATAAAAGTTTTATAAGATTACATTTCCTACAATTTTTCCTCATCAACTTTTTTTGTAACTCACCCCCATTCAGCGGGGGGTCACTAATTCCCTTGAGGAATTTTTTTATTTCGACAATTCAAAAAAATTGTTCTAAAATTATTCTGTATACGAATTAAAAAAAAAAATAGTTCGCCTATTTTCAACTTTACAAAAAAAAATTACTAAGAAAACTTGTTCAAAATAATAAAATGAACAAGTTTTCTTTATAATTTTTTTTTTTGTTAAATTGAAAATAGGCGAGCTACTCCTAAAAACAAAAAGGTGCTGAAAAAAAATCCTTCTAATACAATGTTAATTGCAACTTTTCATATGCACTTAAGGCGAAAAAAGAAAAAAAAAAAAACAATATTTACCCCTAAAAACTAAAATTTTCCTAAGGGAAGTGTCCCTCCCACTGAATGGGGGCGAGTTACAAAAAAAGTTAATAAGGAAAAATTGTAAGAAATATAATCTTATAAAACTTTTATTAGGAAAATTTTTTCGTAAAAAAATCCAAAAAATTAAACTACCCCTATTGGAAAAACGGCAGGGGGTGAGTAAAAACTGCATAAAGCAAAAAATTTGTATGCGTTGTAGAAAATTTTTTCACGTTGGTTAAATTTTTTTATCTTCATTGTAAAATTTCAAACGGCCCTCATGACCACAGACAGTCATTAATCAAAAAAGTCTTCATATAAACATTGTAGATCAAATAATGTTGCACTTCTTTTATTTGAAACATTTTTTTGTAAAATTAATAAGTACCAAGTAATCGCCAATGGCGCACTTTCAAACCCTAGAGCGCAAACCGCCAGAGGGGTGAATGTGTGATATCTTCGGTTTTATGATCACCCACCCGCCCCCTATCATCCCTGAAAAATTCATTTGGGTAGGATTTTTTTTTTGAAAATCAACAATTTTCCTAGACTGGGGCGATTTTTACAGGAATAATCCAATAATAACCCGATACATCCTCAATCAGACCGCAAGATAAGATAAGGAATAGATTCGCAGGACCGGACTTTCATACTAGTTTCAGTTTGTAGTAATAATTTATATTCTCCAAAACCTAAACTATTCCTCTCGCCTATCGAACCTGCTACTACTATCCCGTCAATATTTGCTGTCATTTGATATTTAAGGATTTTCTCCAGGGGGGAGTTAATTGCCGTGGTTCGTTCACGTGAAGATTTAAGAAAAATAAGGTTTTCACTGTTTTCAGATGAGAAAATGTTTTATTTAAGTTAAGGTCACCTGAAAATACCCAAAATAAAAGGGTGGTATAGGAAGGTGTTATGGTGTCTGTGGCAGTATCCATTTTAGGACAATCCAGTCTTATATTTGTTAATGCTGGATTAAAACTTCATTCACAAGTTTGTGACAATTACACTTTCCAAACAAGATGGGCCCGGATCATATCAAGCCAGAGATATGGCCTACTAACAGCCCAGACTTAGGTCCTGTTGACTATTCAATTTGGGGAACTTTCGAACAAAATGAGTATGGTGGATAACAATTTGAAACCATCGAACAGCTCGAATTGGGCTCGAATGGGGCTATCAATAGGTCAGTTAAGTTAGCCCCCCCCCCCACTAAAAATTTTTAGTTGAAAAGTTATCTATAATTTTGCTCTTATTTTGCTCCATTTTGCTCCATAAATTTTAAATTTTGCTCCATTACGCTTTAGAGACTATAACGATTTTAAGGTGGGGGGGGCTAAGTTAATGGTAGCCCCCCCACCATTTTTTTTCCGTTTCTGACTGTGCATTCTTGTTCTACTAATTTTGCTCCATTTTGCTCCGTTATTGAAAAATTTTGCTCCACAACCGTTCCGAAGTTACAGAAGTTTGAAAAATATTAATCAGCCACCTCCCTCCACTTTTTTTCCCTATCTGACAATGGATTCTTATACTACTAATTTTGCTCCATTTTGCTTTGGTATTGAAAAATTTTGCTCAACAGCCGTTCCGTAGTTACAGTTGTTTGAAAAATATTAATCAGCCCCCCCCACCACTATTTTTTCCTATCTGACACTGGATTCTTATACTACTAATTTTGCTCTATTTTTCTCCGTTATTGAAAAATTTTGCTCCGCAACCGTTCCGTAGTTACAGAGGTTTGAAAAATATTAATCAGCCCCCCCCACCACTTTTTTTCCCTATCTGACAATGGATTCTTATACTACTAATTTTGCTCCATTTTGCTCTGGTATTGAAAAATTTTGCTCCACAGCCGTTCCGTAGTTACAGTGGCTTGAAAAATATTAATCAGCGCCCCCCACCACTTTTTTTCCATATTTGACTGTGGATTCTTATACCATTAATTTTGCTCCATTTTGCGCCGTTATTGAATTGTTATTTTCCACAACCGTTCCGTAGTTACAGAGGTTTGAAAAATATTAATCAGCCCCCCCCCCCGCCACTTTTTTTCCCTATCTGACAATGGATTCTTGAACTACTAATTTTGCTCCATATTGCTCCGTTATTGAAAAATTTTGCTCCACAACCGTTCCGAAGTTACAGAAGTTTGAAAAATATTAATCAGCCCCCCCCACCACTTTTTTTCCCTATCTGACGATGGATTCTTATACTACTAATTTTGCTCCATTTTGCTCCGTTATTGAAAAATTTTGCTCCACAACCGTTCCGAAGTTACAGAAGTTTGAAAAAAATTAATCAGCCCCCCCTTCCACTTTTTTTCCCTATCTGACGATGGATTCTTATACTACTAATTTTGCTCCATTTTGCTCCGTTATTGAAAAATTTTGCTCCACAACCGTTCCGTAGTTACAGAGGTTTGAAACATATTAATCAGCCCCCCCCACGACTTTTTTTCCATATGTGACTGTGGATTCTTATACCATTAATTTTGCTCCATTTTGCTCCGTTATTGAATTGTTTTTTTCCACAACCGTTCCGTAGTTACAGAGGTTTGAAAAATATTAATCAGCCCCCCCCCCCAACACTTTTTTTCCCTCTCTGACTGTGCATTCTTGTTCTACTAATTTTGCTCCATTTTGCTCCGTTATTGAAAAATTTTGCTCCACAACCGTTCCGAAGTTACAGAAGTTTGAAAAATATTAATCAGCCCCCCCCCTCCACTTTTTTTCCCTATCTGACAATGGATTCTTATACTACTAATTTTGCTCCATTTTGCTCTGGTATTGAAAAATTTTGCTCAACAGCCGTTCCGTAGTTACAGTTGTTTGAAAAATATTAATCAGCCCCCCCCACCACTATTTTTTCCTATCTGACAATGGATTTTTATACTACTAATTTTGCTCTATTTTGCTCCGTTATTGAAAAATTTTGCTCCACAACCGTTCCGAAGTTACAGAAGTTTGAAAAAAATTAATCAGCCCCCCCTTCCACTTTTTTTCCCTATCTGACGATGGATTCTTATACTACTAATTTTGCTCCATTTTGCTCCGTTATTGAAAAGTTTTGCTCCACAACCGTTCCGAAGTTACAGAAGTTTGAAAAATATTAATCAGCCCCCCCCTCCACTTTTTTTCCCTATCTGACAATGGATTCTTATACTACTAATTTTGCTCCATTTTGCTCTGGTATTGAAAAA